AACTAATAAATAAAGGAAATGTAAAAAGTAATAGATGGTTTGTTAAATTTTTAGGAGAAATAGGGAAATTAAAAATCGAATATTTAACCTTTTTTTTCAAATTAATAAGCAAGTTCTTAATAGGTTTTCTAGAAATAGCCAGTATAAGGTCACCAAGATTAAATCTAGAATCAAAAAATAGAAAAAAAATCAGACGTTCAGAATAATTAGCAAAATCAAGAGCAAATAAAGATTGATTAATAAGCTAGCAAAAAACCAACCAAGTAATTTATTTATTTCATCAACTTGTATGAAGAAACAATAAATTACTTGATTTATGACTAAGAATAAAACTGGCAATTTTTATTTTATCTTGAAATGGAAATCTTAATAAGTTTAATTTAAAAAATGAGCTTTTACTTTAACTAAATACAAAAAGCAAAACAAAACAAAGCAAATAGCCTTTTTAAGTTATCTATTCCTATTAAGCATTACTTATTTGGAACCCAAAAAATGAGAAGCATGATTTCAAATATAATCATATAACTTTCTTTAGAAAGCACAAAAAGAAAAAGAATAAAATTTTTCAAAATCAAAAATTTGTTTATAGCTATTCTCGCAAAATTGTTTCTTGAGTTAGAAATATTGACTTAGTAAAATAATAAATACTATAGGGTTCGAAATTGATTCTAATACAGAAAGTTTTAAGAAAAAGTAGTAAGATATGAAGTACCAATATTCAATAAATAATTAAAGCATACACTCTTTATTCTATATATGATATTAATTTAAAAATTATCCACCTTCTTCACTGTTGACTTTTAATATTTTTCTCTATAAAACAAAAAAAATCATAAATTTTGAAGTGAAAAAAATGACAGCATAATTTGAAATACTAGAGTATTTTTTTAGGACCCTATTTATTTGTATTCTATAAAACAAAATTCAAAAGAATATTTTATAGTTACTTTATTTAATGATTAATTCAGAACTGAAAATGTTATTTTGATAATTAAACAGTGTTTATTTTTTTTTAAGCTTTTAACTATTTTAAATTAGTGTCTAAAATTCTCAAATAAAAAGTTAACTAAGAAGGCCAAATGTCTTTAAAATATTTTTATAACTTAAATAATATTTTTTAGAATGAGATTTTTGATTTCTATTATTTATAAAATAGGATGTATTTGACTCAATTATGTTTATGGTTATTAAATTATGGATCCTTTTTTGTAATAAATAATACAATACAGCAAGTATTTTCCTAATGTTTCTGATTATTTTTATAATCTTATACTTCTTCTTCATATGCAATAATAGAGGGTATGATTTTTACTTTATGATAATCAGTTAAGATAATGTTAATATTAATCCTTAAATAAATATATAAATAAATAGATAGTATGATTTTCTAATTTCTACTCATTCAACGAATTAACTCAATCACTTTCAAATTTAAAATAGTCTGTAAATTTTGAATAATTTACACATTTTAGTGCAATTTCTATTCTGATATACTCAACTACCTTTATATATTAAAATAGCAGGTATTTATTACCTTTTATTTTAGATTTTCAATTCTCAAATATTTTTTAATAAAAGGCAGTAATTAATAAATATAAATCAAATCTTTTACTTAGAATCAAAGATGCTCAATTAATTATTTTAAATATTCTAAAAAGCGAGTAATAAATAAATATGATTGAAATATTTTACTTAGAATCCTAGATGCTCAATTAATTAATTATTTTAAATATTCAAAAAAGCAAGTAATAAATAAATATGATTGAAATATTTTACTTAGAATCCTAGATGCTCAATTAATTAATTATTTTAAATATTCAAAAAAGTGGGTAATAAATAAATATGATTGAAATATTTTACTTAGAATCCTAGATGCTCAATTAATTAATTATTTTAAATATTCAAAAAAGTGTGTAATAAATAAATATGATTGAAATATTTTACTTAGAATCCTAGATGCTCAATTAATTAATTATTTTAAATATTCAAAAAAGTGAGTAATAAATAAATATGATTGAAATATTTTACTTAGAATCCTAGATGCTCAATTAATTAATTATTTTAAATATTCAAAAAAGTGGGTAATAAATAAATATGATTGAAATATTTTAGTAGACTAAAAGATGCTCAATTAATTAATTAATTAAAATATAAAAAATAGGATGTAAAAAATATGATTAAAATAATTTGATTAATTTTTGATAAATAAATTTATATGAAAATAGCTTGTAAATAACTAAATAAATAAATTGAAGAATTAAGATATTCAACT